AACGCGGTTATATACGCATTTGAGCATTTGACCGCAGCGCCCTCTCGTCTATAAACGTTGAGCCAATGCAGGCAAAGTTTAACGCCATTATATACGCATTTCACCGCAGCGCCCTCTCCTGTATAGACGTTGAGCGGCTACATACAACGTTTCATCCATGACATCCCCAGCTCTTGAGTTACTACCACATCTTAGAGCCCCCTACTCGTCCCGCAGTCGTGGCCGAGTGGTTAAGGCGATAGTCTAGAAATCCATTGGGGTCTCCCCGCACAGGTTCAAATCCTGTCGACTGCGGAAACATTTATTTTTTTATTTTTTTAAGAAGACAGATGGGATGACAATCGATGTGAGCACGGACGCCGGACGGACAAGGCTAAACCCTAAGGAGCTTCGCTCCTAAAACAGTAACAACAAAGGTTGCAGACGGCCCTCAAGATGTCCGGACATACAGTAGCAGACGAACCGGCGGCACGAAACGCCGAAACGAAAGAAAGTAAAAGCTAAGCCAAACAAGGCAAGGCAAAATACGTGACCGTTTGAACACCAAGTAAACAAAAGAAAAAAAAATAAGTACAAAAAACACATAAAAGCAAGAGGAAGAACGCGGCGGCGTAGCGTCGCCTCAAACAAAAAGAAAGTAGAATTTGAAAAATGTTAGTAGTTGCACCCGTCCAACGGGTGGTTGCCTATGATCGAAGAAGGCGCAGAAGACGTTAGTCGTCCTGCCACTAACAATCGCAATTTGTGGACCGTATATAACGCGTCCGAAATCACCTTTATTTGCAAAACAACGCTCCCCACTTTTTTTTTTTTTTTTTTCATTTTGCACGTGCGAGAAGTCTTATGATTTAAGACAGCCCTGAGACTGGGGAAAACAAGAAACACAAGCACGACGAAATCTCAAATTGAGATTTTGAGATTTCGTCGTGTTTGTCCGTCTTGTTTTCCCCAGTCTCAGGGTTGTCTTAAATCATGAACGTAAACCAGCTCGCCCGCGCCTATCACTCATTTCAAAACGAGAAATCAGCTTTTTTTTTTTTTTTTTTTTTTTTGTAGTTTCCGCTTTTATTAGTTTCAGTAATAGCGTCAGATGTGCATGTGCACAATTCACTTGTTCCAGAGTATACTGACATCGCAGTAACGTACCTCTTCGAAATTGCCTTTTGTTTCTTCATTCCGAGATGATCTTAACGAGATTAGCCAGCTCGCATGTTCGACAAAACGATTTTAAGCAATACATTCCTGAGAAATAGGAATAGCAACAAGAAAACAAATTGATCGAAAAGAACAGTAAAGTTAAAACGTAGCTATGTTCTGAAAGTTGTGTACATTTCCCTTTTTCAAAAAACAGGGCGAAGGTACATTCGTGCTTTGCCTGGCTTAGTAAGTTCTGACAGAGTGTTTTCTTCAGGAGAGCCCGAAAATTGCAGCTCGAAAGCTGTAACATCTTTCCCACGCGAAGAAAATGTCCTTGACTCATGAGGTGGCACCTATTATTTAACATTCAAAGCAGCGAATACCCGCGACAATGTTTTTCATTACTCACCTCGCATGGAGATAGGCAAAACCAATGCGTTGTAGAGAATTCGTCTGCTAGCGGAGACACCAAGCTCGCCAGGGGCGCTGCGATCACTTTTCGCCCGCGCTCCGCGGGAGTTGCCAGTATTGGCTTACAAGGTATTTGATGCAACTGTCCACCTTTCATGCCTTACAACTTTGCCTGTCGCCATTTTTTTTTTTCTGGTCAAAACTAAGCGCGGGTTTGTTTATATCACACAATTGACAATAAAATAAAAAAAAAAATATCAGTTGATTTAAAAATGTCGACCAGCCACCTTTTGGTCGATCTTATCTGAAATCACCCAGTAGCACATTATATAACCGACAAATGAAGTTCAACGCAGAGAAAAAGGTCAACGCTCTGATTTGCTTAGAAGAGCGGTCTGTGTTCAACCTGACTTAAATCTTTTTGCTTAAAATTTTAATTTAAATACAAAACAAGTGCACACAGAAAGCACCAAATGTTAGGCAAACAGAAAATTAGAAGTATTTCGAGATTATTTTTACACGAAAGGTTTGATTTAAATCATCATAGTAAAACCGGTAAGATTTAAGTCACATTTAAATCAATTAATACTTTTTATTTTTATTCTCTCATCTGGTACCGCCAGTCATTCATCTGTTCCCTCTATAGAGGTTTGATGCGATCGATTGTAATGACCTGGTATTTTCCGTTGACTTTCAAGTTCATTGTTTTAAATGTGCGTTCCAGGACGGTCCCTCCCGCTCCGGCGTAGGGGTCTTCTTGACAAGATCGTGGCGGACAAAAGCATGGGTGCACGTCGTCCTGGGACATGAGAACTTTGCAGGGAGCCGGATTTTTAGAAGATGTTGGTTGCAGTCGCTGGAAAGCCTCACGCAAGCGATTCGTGTAGGAGCATGGCGATGAGGCGGCTTGGGACCAGCGGCCTGAGCGGACGCGCAATCCGTTGGCATCTAAATTGGCGATAGAATGAATCAGCTTAATAATTTCAATATTTGTAGAACCGACATCAAATTTCTACACCTGCACCCAAACGACATCTGAAAGGACAGCATTTCTACAGTGACAACGCGGCCATTGGCACTGTGCGTGACTTGTGTGAGGACCAAGACAAACCGTTTTTATGCACGGGTTGGCAAAACTGGATAACCGCTGGGAGACTCAGGCTAGGTGGCGCGAGCTTCCGCCAGGTACAAAGGGTATAACCATTAACATCCATCCATCCATCCATCACCTGGGTGTCGGCACAATAACGCGACCAAGTACGGTCACTTTGAAATGCGGTGGTTTTAACCCTAACGGTAATTGACTGCAACAACAACAAAATTTTTTTTTTTTTTTTTGCAAAATAATGCGGTTAGTTTTTGCAGATTACGAATTACAGGTTTTCAGGTGTTAATCAAGTGAATTTCGGAGAAAATCAAAGATGATATGTTTTTGTTTTAATTGTCAGGCAAACATTTGCAAAAATAAATAAATAAAGTAAACTTACTCTATTAGAACACTATTTTTTTATTGCTGTTAGAAGTGCACAATGCATGAAATACTCCGTAAAAATGTTTCAGCTCAAATAATTGATCCAAAAATGTGTGAACAATTAGCCGAACATGCATGAAAGAGTTACTCAAGATGCCAAGTTTGAAACTTTTTTTTTTTTAATAACTAATTGTAGTAGAAGAGTTTGCATAGGCTTTCAATAAAAGTATTTACGGTGTGGCAAGCTCCTGTGACCCCCAAAGTTGCTTCAACTCGCAATTAAGAAAATCGTTTCCACCTCTTCACGGCCGCGATTTTTGAATGCAATATATTTTCCGTGGCCCTCCTCCCAAGCTGGAAACTTTGAAAGTTGAAGTTTCTGTTATCCAGTACTTTTGACAAAAATGCAAACTCCTGAAATGTGAAGGTCTCTTTTACTTTTAGTTTTATTTCATTGCAATGTTATTTCCTGGTTAAGTGATTAAAGGGAAGATGGGGCACTTCTACATTTGAGAAAAAATGCTTAAATTGCGTTCATTTGGCCTTTAGATTAACAGATATCAAAATTTTACTTCAATGCGACGCGTCGAAGAGCCATACGAGCAATTTCAAAATAGGACTGAAGCCCCGCCTCCGTAGCCTTGGGCAGCCAAAAGAGCCGTCGATGACGTCACGGACAGCGACTGTCTTTCGCGTTTTTCTCGCGTTTAACAATACTTACGCAGCAAATGGTTTGGGTATTCGGGTTCACGGGGTAAAAATACACTAGAATTCACTTCTAACTCATTTTTTCCAAGAAGCTCCGTAGCTTCCCTTTAAATATTCAAGCGAACAATATTTCTGGCAATTTTATTGTGCAGTGTACATTTCTGATTGTGTGTTATTTATGTGTACATTCATAAATCTGAGGGCTTAAATGTGCGCTTCTTTCGGAAGAAAACGTCCCGAGTCAAAGGGATCCAACACGATCGGCTCCATAGATCTTTCGCGACGATTGATTATATCGAAGTAGCCCATGACGTGTGGTAATTAAATTTTATTTATCGTTTTATCATGCATAGATGAGCATATAAATCGGGTTCTCTAAACATTATATAATTCCCGAAATACGTTCAGATGGTAATTAGAAAAGAGTACAGTAAAAACTGTCACCAAGCTCTTTTTTTTTCTTTTTTTTTTTTAGTTTGATTTTGAGATTTACTTGATAGATTACACGTAGTTTAAACCGGAGACGAACGGATGTGAAGAAAATGAGAAACAGACAAGTCTCAAACGAATAAACATGATATGTAAATAAACTTTAATCAACTGCATTTGAGACGTGTGTGTTTGTCGCCTTCTTGTAGTCCGTTCGTTTCGGGCTTAAATTGTGTATAACCTTACTGGCTCGCCTGCTTATTAACATTGACTTGATGGATCTTTCTTCACAAAAGAAAACTAGTCGGTCGCCGCGATATTTATGCAGCATTATTAGGTCAGTCGTCTCGAAATAAGTGTAGGAGTACCCCTGGATGCATAAGTACTATTTTTAAGGGCTTTCGGGGGTCGCGGCGTTCCTCCCTCTCTCTCTAAATATATATATATATATTTTTTTTTTTTTTGCGTACATTAGTTATATATTCAACGAGTGACACGTGTCAAAGGGAGGGGCCCGCGCGACTAGCAAGTAGACTCCTCGAACTACCTTGAAAATTGTTCTCTTAGGCGACACTTGGTCATCCCTACAGCCGGTCGAGTAGCGCGTGTACACGTATGGTAATGCTGCGGTAAAGAACCTCTGCCGTCGGATGACAGACGCCAGGGGACCTCGCGCGCTCCGCGCGGGTTTCTCCCATCCTCCGCTGCAGGTCGCGTCTCCGCGGCCGGAGACGTCCGAGACGCAGATTTTCTCAGCGTGCTGTTGCCTCGACAACGCAGAGCCGCCGCTCCGTTGCCATGGCGATCAACGGAGCCTCGAGCTCCCGGCGCTAGAGGCGACACCGTCGCCGCGGGAGAGGGCGATGCGACGTCCGTGTCAGGCAGAGAAGCCGCCTCTATTGAACAGCCAGAGTGGTCGCTGACTCTGGGAGTGGCTGCACCGCGGCGAGCCCGGTTCCCCCGTCGGCCACCACACCGCTGGACATCCCACGCGCCGCGTGAAACCCACGGAGCCCCTGGGGGCCTCGCGAAGCAGCATCTCCAGCGGCAACTTCTCGGCCATCCCGACGCTGCAGGCCAGGCAGCAGACACCGAGATCGATCTCTGCCGGCCGGCGACCGAGCCGGCAGCGCGGGAAGGTGTGGCATGCTGGTGAGTGCACAATGCCGCCCGTTGGCCTCCTTCCTGACCCGAGGTTCGCGCCGGCTGGCTCGCCTGGGTGCGCGACCCGCTATGCGGAAGCGCGCCCAGAGCTGGGCCGCGGATCCTCGGGGTGCCTGACCGCGACGCGCCAAGTGCCCCGGGGAGAACGCACCGCGGGGCACGTGTTGTGCTAGGAAAGGTGCGCACGACGCGTGGACCGCCACAGACCCGTTGGAAAAGCGCGCGCGCGTGCATCGCGCTGCATATGGCGCAACGAGTTGACGTGAGATTCACGCGAGTGCGAAAAGAGCGAGCCGAAAGCCATCTCTTCGAAACAGCAGCGTGTAGTCGGAGCGTGAAACCGAACTGTAGTCAGTGACAGGCTATGAACCCAGTACGCCTGGAGCTATCTGCCTTTTAGTAACACTTGGTCGCACGCGCAGCCCAAGCTCGGCAGAAGGCAACGGGCGCGTGCCGGAGGTGGAGCTTCTGCTGGGTCCTGTCACTCAACCGAGAGTACAGAAAATTATTCATCGCTCCATCTTTTTGGTCGCTGAGTTGGCCTTCTCTGAAAGTGCACAATACGTTATTTTTTTTACGTTTCTTTTTCTTTTTTTGGGTTTGTACAATAATCTTTTTATAGAGCTCTCTTTTACAGAGCGATGAGAGTTATGACATATGGGATACATAGGCAATAATCATTATCGGCGGGTACATTTGCATACGAGTTTACGTCAAGACTGCTGCTTCCTCACTTCAGGGTCCCATAATCTTTCACGCTCACGTGCTCAGAAACTTAGCACCAACCGCATTTTCGAAACCGAACGTTGCATCTTCATTGGCAGCTCTCCTCATGAGAAGTTTGGTTCCTCGAGCTCCAAAAAGACTCGCGCGCTTTGTTCATGGGAGGCTTTTACCCTCTACGGGGCTGGGCGGTGATCGGGATATAACGCAGTAGTAACTAGATGGTGGTGAATATCGTGAGGTTACTATTATCAATCAAAAGCATCGTGCGTGATGCACAGATAGGCTAGCTAATTCCCTCTGCCGCACTGAGGAAAGTTGTTCGCAGCTAGTCGAGATGCCATAATGTTCTGAGGTTTGTCTAGAATTCCACGTGTATCGCGGATATGTAGTCGTTCGGGCTCTTTTCTTTTTATTTCCCGTCGTTTCAATATTATTATTATTGTACAAGGCGCTGTGGTGTTTATTTTTCGTAGCAGATGCGGCGCGCGTCACCTAGTGTCAAGGTGGGACACCTTGCTTTCAGAAACACGCTTTTCCTCGGTGACGGACCACGGCCGCTTTCGTTCGAGCGGAAAGACTCTCCGGAGCAAGACGACCGCAGCTGCCGAAGATCAACAAACCGCTTTTAGCGAGAAAACTTTCGCATCAAAGAACCCGAGGAAGTCGGGAGTTTCGCACCCTCCTTTCCATCGTGAGCTTCCGCGGCGCTGACTGAAACTACGGCTCTGCTCACTGACTTCTCGGAACACGCATCCGCATCGGGCTTGAGCAACTCGGGGGAAACAGGCCAATCGGGCTGGAGGGAAGCGTGCGGCTCAGCAGCGTTTCATCTGATCATCTACGAAACTTGGAACTGTTGTTGCTACGCGCGTGAACTGACAGGATTACTAAACACGTTCTGCATGATTCACGACGTAAGGACGTTGTTTCAAGGAACATTGGCAAGTGTATTGCTATCTATACAACAAGGAACACGTATTAAGTTTCTGCTGTTTTGTAGACAGAGAGCTACGGACGCAAGCTCGTGGTTCTGATAAATTGTAGCAAAGGAGAATCCATAAAATATGCTAACCCCTCAATGCCAGCCTGTTATGCGGGTTATATGGGCTTCATTTTTTTTTTTCTTCGAATGGTCCACAGCCGTGTGTGTTTTTTGTGGAAACCTTGTCCTATGTAAATCAAAACTTCATAGCTGTTACCATAAGCTGCCCACGCTGGTAGTTGTGTTCGTGAGAGGGGTATTCATAAAGTAAACTTCTCTTGTAACCGGGGAGTTCGCATGGCGCCAGTTTCAAGCCGCCTTGGGAGTGAGACGCTCGATGGGTGCGCCTTAGAATTTCTAGCTTCTGATGGGCAAAAGTGTGTAGACGCTGTGCCAACTCTAGTCACTCAGAGGACGGCAGGGCGTCTTCTTCCGGTGCCCGGCATCCAGCATGTGCTCGTTTCCTTCCGCTGTGCTTTGGCTGCGCGTGCACGCTCGGGTCTCACAAGACGTCGAAGCGTTCTCGAAGTGCAGGACAACTTAAACTCCTCCCTGCCCTTCTCGTACAGTGACTCTAGTAGTAGTACTGGAGTAAGTAATTACAAGTCAGTCGGGCGAAGACACCATTTTGGAGCACGGAGCCGATTCGGAGGGCATAGGAAAAGTCCACCAAAAACTACGCGAAATTCAATTGCTGCCGTTATGAACTTGGAATTGACCTACCTCATTGATAGTTACTGCGAATACGTCGTTTTGGCTCTTTCTGGTTACGGATGTCCGTTAATGACGTTTCGACCAAATTGGATCTCACGCGTCCCATCTGTGCGCTCCTTGTTCGACTGACTGTACTGTCGCTGGTCCGTCCGACCCGTCGGGTTCTCGAGCGGCGGCGCGTGTGGCTGGCCGGCCGGCAGTGGTGGACGCGGAGCCAGGCCACAAGCACACGGTCAACAGACGGGGAGCTGCCGGACGCGGCAAGCAAACAGCCTCGTGGAGAGACAGCGGGATCAGGACCGTGGTTCGTGCCCGGGGCTCGAGACGGGGATTGCGAGCGGGCCGCTAACGACCATCGATCGTGGGGAGCGCTCCCAACGCCGAGGAACCCGTCCTGGCTAAGACGGCCATCCATATCTCGGACGACAGGCCGCGATTCTCGGGCGCCCAATTTCCATGCCGTCGCCTGCAGCACACATGCGCCGCTTCTTCCCGAGACGGGACGCCCGCTCCCGCACGAGGATCTGGGGCTGTCGTGCCGCTCGCTGGGAGGCAGATGACCGGCCTTCTCGGCAGGGAGGCCTCAGAGGACGAGAAACGGTGCTCGTCTCACGGTGCTACTCGCAGTTATGGCGCGCAGCTGGACGACATCCTTAATAATCAATTCGTAAGGAGAGCGCGGAGTGGCCGAGTCCGCAAGTCCTACAATCGTAACAGTTCCCATGGTTCGTCCAAGTAATTTGAAGATCAACGAAGCGCAAAAGATTAGTTCGCCCCTTTTTCTGAGAACTTATTTATTTATTTTTTCTAGAGAAGCGCGTTTTGCCATCTATCGGCCATATCCGTGTCCCGCCTCAGTCTCTTAAATTGCGTCCGATTTGTTAAGCATCTTTTTTCCACCCAATCAGCATTTGACACTGTAAGAATTGAACGGTCCTCGGATGAACAAAACAAAATTTTGACCGCGCACACTGCGCGAGGACCAGTATACGACCGACGTAGGACATTTGACGCGCCCTAGCGGAGAACTAGAGATCTATTTAAACCACTTGTGGATCTTTAACGCGCAAACGAAACTCGCTTACGGAAACCTACTCAGCGATAAGCAATCGTCAAATCGTGAGCACTTCGCCACTGTTTGAAGAAAATAACGAATCCGAGCTTACGAATACTGCAGAACCTGAGCAGTCTATCGAAACAAATGCGGTTCCCCTTGAATAAAGCTCTTTCATTCGTATATATATATATATATATATATATATATATATATATATATAAAGAAGAATAAAATAGGCCTTGTATTTGGAGAAATTGGCATCCATGCATATACCTCCACCTTAAAAGAACGGCTCACATCACCTAGTCGTTCTTTGTTTCTTTTTATGTGAGTGCGACGACTAGCGCGGAATCAACTGATGCACACCCGGCTTGCCGCCACAGACACATTTGCACGCTCCGTGTCGCAATGGAAACGGTGTAAATGTCGCAATGGTGGTAGGTGGGAAGATATATAGATTGCAGAAGTTGCCAAACGCGCGGGCACCACCACTTGGTAATTTACAGACTACCTACTCAAGTGCAATGGTCTGTACATTACCGAGTGGAGCACGTAAAAACTTGAGTGGTTCGAGTACGATACGTCGCGAAAGTAAAATAAAGTTTGTTTGCAAGCCGCGCTTGTGCAGGAAAGAGTGACCAACGAAACAAAGACAGGAAAATATCTTCAGCTACTTCATGCTCCGGAATTTCGAACAGAATCGTGGCGTGTGCCGCCTCCCCTCGGTGCTCCAGAGAGTCGGTGCTGCAGTGCGGGCGTGTTCCCTAAATTTGGAAATGGACGCCGGAAGTGCAGGCTCTCGGTGCGCATTAATCTTGCTTCCGTGGCGGCCCATTAATACGCGTACAACGCTCGCTTCATTACTCATTAGGGCGTATTTTCTAAACATGCCAGCCCGGGCTCCGGAAAACCGCAGCGCGAGTGGGTTTCCCGAATTCTGCCCTCTCCCCCGTCCTTATTACGCCATCCAGTGGAAGCGGCCTCTCTTCGCGTGCTGTGTGAGAACGTTAATAAGAAACGGCAACGGTATAAACTGAGAGTGTTGTAGCCGTTGTACTAGAGCGCCGACAATGACGAAGTCGGTTGGCGATAATGTCATTTGACTGCGCTATTTTCGCCATTGTACCCGGACTGTTATGACCAGATAGAACGCTATCACGCTATAAGCGTATTTCTGTAAGACTTTAGTAATCTAATCAAAATCCTGTGGATGCACACACTTCCTTATGCGTCCCTTGTTTCGCCTGTCTTGTGTTGCTGCGTGTCGCAATATTTAAGACTAGTTTATTCCGCAAAGCACCCACTTCCCTCCTTGTACTTACTGGGAATAGCTAAGGTAAAACAATACGGTTTTAAACATATTTGAAGCTTCGCCCCTTAAAAAAGTCACTAGCCATTTTTTTTTTTTTTTTTTTACAAATGTTTGCAGTTAAGACATAAATAGCTTGGGCAAGCCCAGCCATGAGCTCCTTTACTACTACGCATGCAACCTATAAACCTTCCAGTGCC